ATTTTGCGCATTATTCCAGCATGCTGAAATACTATGACTCTAAAATCTAAATCTGTAAGCATTTACGTCGATTTACCCAGCTCGGAGGTTCACCTTTGGGTGCATCTGGTCTATTGTGACGCCTCTCCACTTATCTATCCTTTTGCTCATCCATTTGTTCAGTGGCTTCAACTCCGATGTTTAGCAATTACTTTGTTCGTTCATACGTCCAAAATTGTTATTTGTATAAGTTATTCTAAGCAATCTGTAAACGTTTCTCTTAGGAATTGCAAATAAAGTCTACGTGTACGTGTAAAGTGTACTGCAATGGTACGAACATAACTTCAAAAGGAAGTGAGTGAAAATATAAAATTTTAACGTTGCAGTGTTATAATGCGTCGACCCATTTCTGCGTTACTATATCCATTCACCCATATGTGTTGAATGATGTCACCAGCCGGATAGATCGGTTTGCGATACAATAACACAAATGACACCTTGACACATAAGATTAGGCAAGCACTGCTCGTTTGTTATTTGGCATTTCAAAAATTTATTATGAATGAAGCAATTAGCTGACGTTAAAACAGCGCGCCTCTGTATCGACTTGCTTTAGTATTAAAGAAATATTCTTTCAGAGAGTGAAGCAATTATCAAGCATGACTCACGTGGAAATCAGACAATAACTATAAACTCTGTAGATAATAGATTTTATATCACCTACAAAATTTTTGCTCCACAGCCAATGTATGTGTGTCCATCTTATGTTAAATATTTAAATATGTATTTATTAATCAGTCAATCAAGTCTCTTCATAAGTCAGCTAAGGTAACATAATTGCAAGTTCGTTTAAAATATACACATTACCCAACTATTATTATATACATTTACACAAGTTCCGCTTCTTTAAGACGCTTTTGAGTAAAAATTTTTCATATGTATGTGGCACTTTTCTCATTCCATTTGTGAGTAATTGAGGTAATCTTAACCAAATAGCTTTTTCTCTTCTTTGTGAATTGTGTGTTTATCTACTCGAATTGAATTGAACAACGTTGGTATTGTTAATTACAAAAGATGCTCATTTCTCGTTTTATTTATAGAGATTACAAATGACAAAGGTGAACTCGTTCTTAGATGATTTTAATTGAGCACTTTCCACTTTCGCGGTTTTTTCTCTAATCTGATCGCCTACTGGCAATGGCTTATATTGTTCTAAACACTAATATCATCCAATACGAAATTATTAAGAATCTTCCTTAGAGAGTATCAAGCATTTTAAGGAAAGGTCAAACTAATTTTCAAACACATTTTTGCGTGGGATTCCTCGAATATGAACCACGTCATAGTACAACTATCGCTCATTCTGCAGAACGTAAACGCATAAAACATTATATGCCAATTACCCGAGACCTGTCAACTTAGTCAGATGCTTGCAGCTCGTATTGGATTATACAAAAACTAAAATGAGTAATTCTACTCGTCACTTGTTGACTTTCTTACTACAATCGATGTACGGCAACATTTCTAATCTCCGAATCAAAAAAGGCCAATGAAAACAAGGTAATCACGATAATCGAGGAGATCAAAGAATCAAGCGAATGATAGGAATAAGGGAACCAACGAATCAAGAGTGTGAAGGTAATTAAGGGAGGTAACAGGTATCAATCACCTTGTCATAAAATGAAAAAATTGTAGAAGCAGAAGTATTCAGTAGCGAACGGAATCAAGAGGGGTCGAGCAATTTTTACAAATCGTATGTGTTGAGGAAATTGAAGGAGTGGACCCAACCGTAATGAAAGAAATTTAAAAATTTAAAGAACCAAGAAAATCAAGTGAACTAAGGAAATTAGGGGAAGAGAGGATTGAGAAGATCGAATGACTAAAGAATTAAACCACAATCGTATGAAAAGAAGACATACAATAGGAATGTCGATTACTTTCATTCAACATTAAAAAGAAAGGTTGAAGAATATTTTGGATCCGTTCACATAGTTCTCGCCCAGTATTACTTTTGTGATGGAAAGATTTCCGAAAACGTAAAATTTTAAAAATACTTGTTCCAGGAAAAAAAGAGATGGTTTTATAGTAGCGTAACTTTAATAACACTAGTCCTATCAGCTCATACCATAGCGCTTACGTGAGTGGATAGTCCAAAGATAGCAATAAAAAAAGAAAGATCTTATTGACACGGCCGATAGTTGACTTGCTGGCTTCTACGATTTTGCCACACTGCACAGATATTTCCCTATGCATCGTTAGTTACGCTGTCGGCAATACTCTGTTTATAATGTGAAAAGAGCGTAACAATGATTTGGTTTAGCTAATAGCCAAGAAATGCCACAAGCCGTACTGGGATGGCGTGATGATATTGTCCCAAAAATGGAAAAAGATTGTCTATCAAAATAGCAAACACATGGTTTAATGAAGTTCATTAGAGTAGCGTGGCTGAATTTTGGAAAACAACGCTGCAAACTTTTGTCCCTTTCTACTTTTTACTGTAAGGAAACCTTAACGATAAACAATCGTTTGATAGCACAAGAGTTTAACAAACTTTTTATTTGAATAAAAATTATCCGAATCAGCTCGTTGTCAATGTTAATGATTGAGAAAAAACCTAATATATTTTGTACTTACGTTAGTCGAGTGAGCATCGCAGATCGCTGTGAGAGCAATGTTTCTTCCTTACTGGCTTTCATTTTCATTCTTCAGGCTCGTTTGAAATATATAAAATAAAAAAACAAAACTGATGCGACACAAAGTTCTAAAAATAATTCAGATGTGGAGACGAGAGGAAGGCGAACAGTGACAATGACAATGAAATATGTGTTGATTTAATATAAATTTCAATATCGCTAAGAGTATAGACTGGCGGTGTTTACACAGCACAAAATAGCATTATCGTCATCATCATCCTCCTCATCAACAGTAGTAAAGCGTACAAATAAGAGGGGCAGATACACTACCGTAGCTTGTTGTGTTTCTGTATCAAGCTTTTGTTATATTGCTGTTAAGGTCAATTCCAAGAGAAGGGAATTTTATATACGTACTTATATACACATAAATATATATACGTTTACATTTAGTTTCACTACATACATTGACCTATTAGAGATGATATAACCACTAATGCTATTGGTACTGTTTTGGCTTTGCAGCTATGCTAAAACTGCAGCTTATGTAATAGTTGTTGCAATATTTTACCCTTTTTATATGATTATATTTGTGTAAATCGCATACAAGCACAGCTGTTTGTTTAAGCGAATATTTATGTGTTCGTAAAGCTAGTCAGACATACTTGTATTATTGTAGCGTTCGCCTTTCGATGACGTTACGTAAGTTAGCAGCTAAAGAGTAAAGGAGTATGAAGCGGTGAATAATGAAGGAGGGTGTTTTTGGCGATTTGTTTCAATATATATTTGTGTTTGTGTAAACGGATTATGTGCATTATGCGAGTGTGTGAGTAAGCATGAAAAACACCTATAAATTGTGTTAAGGGCGTTAAGGTGTAACAACAATAACTATGATTTATAAGCTTGTATTCATCTTCTTTCTCTCTATCTTGTTTTCCCTTTCTCTCTCTCTCTCTCTCTCTTTGTTTTTTGCGATCGTTCCTGAGGTTAAATTAAATTATGCCATTTTTAAAATGAAAATCGTTGACGTTCAGATTTGCTGCACATAGAACACATTGGCCTAAACTGACATTTGCTAGCAATCCGTTCAAATAGGTATATGTGATCTTGATTACAAGTTCACAAAACATGCCGATGTAATTTGTCTCAGCTAGGTCTTGTTTCGTTAGGAATCATTTAACAAACTTTTATTGACAAACGGAGGAATTGCGAACTTTCAGTTAAATTCATTAAAATTCCCAAATATTTATACAGTTGGTAAGTACATAATTAAAATACTGCCGACATTGTAAGTATTGTTATTTTGCTATAGGTTCTTTAGTTATTACGAATTACTTATTTATCAATGAATTCGAGAAGCTGGAAATTTTAAATTACAAATAGAAAATTAAATTTGATATGAGTGGCATCTTTGTGTTTATCATTTACTCTATTTGATTTTGTAATGAAAACGTTGTGCGTGTTAATAACTTTTTAAGTTCATAAGTTTCTTACAAGCCCGATGCAACTATTTTTAGAAGAACTCTGTTCAGCTACCTTCAGGTAATTTAATTGGAAGGAATGCTTACATTAAAGGAAAGCTGAAATAACTGTGCTTAACAGCAATAAATTGAATTGTTTCTAAAGTCCCTAGAGCCACATCTTAGAATTGTATTTAGTAAATACCAAGAGATACAAAAAGATGCATCCGAGGAGCAACAATCCGATATTGCTAGAAGACTGACAACCGGAGATTTCCGGCATGAACATCTATAAATTGAAAATTTTTATGTTATTTATTTGAACGAAAGAAATACAGCCGTGTATAAGATTTTCAAGGCACAAGCATTGCGTAAAATTTAAGAGCATAACGATGTGAGTTTTTATGCGCTACATACACTCAAATTACTTTATACATATGTGCCAAAAATTGTGGAGGTCTTTTGCAAAACTGCCAAACTATGTTTTCGGTTTTACGGAGCCAAAAGGCCTCTTATTGAATATTTTGTTCGATAGTGAAAATGACCTAAAGTGACCTAAAGTGAAAGATCACTGAATTACACTTTTCGGAAAAAGATATTGAAAACGGCATCGTAGTGGTAAACGTTTGATAAGTGAACCTAAATCAGAGCCTAAGTTGATGATATTCAGATTAATAAAATCTGTGAAATCTCATATGTTTGTACTTGAGACAAATATTTAATAATCCTAGTATAGAGTATGAATAAAATAAACAAATTTATTCCTTTAACCAAATTCGAAGTGAACATCGATTTAGCTGTCTTTTGTGTAATAAAAATAAAAATCATTTAAGAAATTTGAAGAGCGTATAAACTATTAGAAGAAATAATTTTCTGCAGATCATCATTGTGTTCCATATTGCGAACATATTCTCTATATCTGATCTATAATATGTCTTGCATGGCTCTTAAACGTAAAACAGATTGCGCGGTGCAAACTTTTAAGCGGCGGCGATGTGAAGTAGGTTGTCTTACTACTCAAATTTGTTCTTTTCGGGCGATTGCCAAGTCTTCTAAGGCGTCCGCAGCTGTAAAATCTGCACTTTCTAGTGAGAGTCTTATCAAAGAACCTCAAGTGACTGCGTTTACTGGCGCTGCCGTTTCAGCAATATCACCCGGCAAAATGAAGCAAACCGTATATGATGAAATTATTCGACTTCGTAAGCGCAAAAAATTGACTGTTTCAACGTCAAGCTTGAAATGTATGCTAGATTCTGAATCCAATGGTTGGAATAAGGAATGCGATCGCTCTCATCGTCTTGATGGTCACCCCGATAGCCATGCCGATGGCGTAAGAAATCCTAATAAGCCTTTATTCACTTTTAGAGAAGTGCAAATGATATGCGCTGGCATGTTGAAAGATCGTGAAGATGAATTACGTGAAAAGTACGATGCTGTGCTCACGACAAAACTTGCAGAACAATATGACACTTACGTTAAATTTACTCACGATCAAATAACAAAGCTTTACAGAGCACCTGCCAGTTACGTTAATTAAAACAAAGGAGCCGTGGCCTATTTAAATTTGCACTTCATAATTGGCTACAAAAAGCAGCATTTCAAAAACAAATAAATTAGAAAAAAAAAAGATTTGCCTGGATTGACGAAGACGACATTTTATCTTTGGAGGAATACAAGCATGAGCTTATCAAATTTGATCGGTTTAAAAAGTATTCGCACTGTCTGCTGCTTAGGTAGACTAGATAATTCGATTGTTTTTGCTGATCACTTCAGAGTATACATATTGCTCAATTACCCAATATTGCGAACGAATTTCAAGCTTAAACAAATTTTGTCTTATTATTTTAAAAACTACATCCACTGAAGGATTGCTTCGCCAGTCAGATGCTTTCCTTCTTGTTAGCATTAGCAAGTCTACTGTGAATCCAATAATAATCCTCTTGAAAAATCTTAAGCGGGGGTTTGTCTCTAACAGATGAGACTCTCACCATTTTCAAGTCCATTCATGACGCGTGACTCGTGAAAATAGCTGCATCGCTTTAAATTGTCGTTCAATACGAAGGGAGCATTCTTGAAGGTGTTATCGAATATTTTCAAGGTTGCGTGTGGTCTCGCTGGTTGCTGTGGGAACGCTTACACCAAACCAAAGGGTACTCAGGCGGCGATTGCCTTACCTTCACTGCCTGCTTAGCTATCAACGCTCTTTAGAAAAAAAGCCAAAAATAGTAGTGTGTAACAACCAGGAGGCACGCATAAGAATATTATTATTATTATTGTTGTGATTGCGTTGATTTTGGCCAGCGTTTTCTACAGGTAAAAATGATAAATAAATGGGAAACACCAGCGTAGATAACGATCAAATTAGATGATTTTGACCTTTCTCTGCCTAAAATAACGGTTTTCAATTTAGTGGTATTGAGATATCCAGAGTATACAGACGATAGTCATGGAACGCTGAAAATTGCTTTTTCGACGTTCATTACTTTTGTTGTTTGATATGAGGCAATCTGCTGCCGAAGCCTTTCAGGAACTTATGATGATGGTGGTCCTTAATATCGTAATTGTCGCTGTTGTTTGCAATGGTTTAAGAGAGGTTATTTTGATGAACGGCCTCGCAAAGCAAAAAAGGCAATAAATTACCAGTTCCAATACCATTGTACCAATTCTTCTAAATAAACGCCTTTTTCAAGTGAAAAAATGGCCAAAATTAACGCAACCATCTAATAATTTAGCCAGAGAATAAATTATAAAACTAAAGTCTTAAAGCACTAGCATCTAAGGCTATCGGCTTAGCTTAAAGCGTATAACTCGGTACGCGTTTCATAATTAATAGACTTCACAAAGACATTGTGGTTGCGTTGTTTTGCTTATCTGCGATTTTTTGTTATCAACTTGACGTCTAAAAAAAAGCAGGAGAGGTTCCATATAATATTTTTTGTGTCACATTTTTAGTTTTACCCAAACAACTGCGTAGTTGGCTAGGGGCCAATTTTTAATGACGCAAACATAAATATTGGACTATGGATAATTATCGGAAACTATATGAACTTTCGTCGAAATATTGCAAATCAGGCGTAAAGTTGTGCAACTATCGTCTGTATCTAGCCAGAACAGTAAACCTAAGCGAACTAGTTCACGTAAAATTAATTTACTTCAACAATCTACATAAAACATCCTTGATAACTTTGCAGCAACTTTTGCTTACTCAAGAAATGTCAACCATGCCATGAATCACTTTTTTCTTGTAAGCTGTGATGACCATAATATTACTGACGGTGATAAAATGACGCAGCAATTTCTCCTTCATTGCCGCATATCGCAAAATCTTGTGTGCGTGATATAAAGAAAAAACTGTTGGTTGACGGATATTTCAGCTATTACTTGTTGCTAATGAGTTCATTTACACACGTATGAAAGAACTCTACCGGAAATAGGTAAAACTTTTAAATGATAAATATAACCAATTTCGCACCAAACAAGTTAAGCAAGAAAGTGGAGAAAGGATTGTGTTAAAAACATTCATTATTCTACTTTAACCGCTAAAATTAAAAAAGGCATAAAGGCCAAAACTGGCGATACGCCTCGAGAATTTGTTTGCAAAATAATCGCGAAGTTTGTGCCGTATACCAATTGCATTTTAAAAAGGAACCTCAAACTTCTTTCATATTAGCGTGGAATACGCAGTGTAGTACAAATTCCTTGAATCAAGAATTCCCTTTGAATAATGGACAAGTTCCACCGCTGTTCCAGGCTGATAAGGATATTATCGTGTTATGACGTAAAGTGAACTTCATGCATTTAAACTTGAGTGCAAAAAATTGACATTCTCTGGGAGATCTTCTCCTTCCACGGTTTAGTTTATTTTATTTATTTATTTATTCTACTTATACAAGAAACTCAACTAAAACAAATTAACAGTCGAGTTCAATTGACTCTTACAGTAAATCTTATATTAATTAATATTAAAACGTAGTATAAGTATAATAAAACGTAGTATAAGTATAAAAAAATTAACCCCTGAGCCATCGCAAACCTGCATGAGCTTGGCAACTGATAACAAAACAACAAAAATTAATTAAGCAATCGGATCACAACCCTAATTCCTGAAGGCAAACAGCAAGAATTGCTTTTGAACAGATTCAATTGAATCTAAATAGCACCTATATGAAGGAGACCACACAACAGAGGCATACTCGAGTATAAGTCTGACCAAAGACATGTACATTCTTTTCGTAATGTAAGGATCATCAACCTCTTTGCGCCACCTCTTTATAAAACCTAGCTCGGACCTAGCTTTGCTTAACGAGAGCTCAATATGCAAGTTAAAACGTATCGACCTCCTCCAACTTATGCGAATCTATGAAATACTGAGTAATATATGACTTTCTTCTTGAGAAAGAAATCTTCTTACATTTTTTTACGTTTAGTTTCAGTGGATTCAAAGAGCACCTTGTACCCAAATTATTCAAGACACTTTGAAGCTGATGTAATTGTGATTCAACAAAGAAGGAAGAAAACAGTTTCACACCATCAGCATACATTAAGATCTGAGTGGAATTAATCACCGATGGAAGATCATTTATGTATAAACTAAATAAAATAGGACCTAAGTGGCTTGAGGTACGACAGACGTTACGGGGAACCCATCCGAGGTGATGACGTTAAACAGAACCCTGAAGGATCTATTGTGCAGATAAGAGCTTATCCATTTCACTAAATAGAAAGAGAAGCCAGAGGCTTGCAGTTTAAAGATAAGTAAGTTATGGTTAACCAAATCAAATACTTTGCTTAAATCAGTATATATATATGTGAGAGCCACTAGAAAAAGCCTTGAAAATATGACAAGTAAACTCTAGCAAATTGGTGACCGTAGATCACCCTTTCGAAAGCCATGCTGGTGTGGAGAAATATACGAATTAATGGCAAATGCCAAATGCTGAGTCACAATTCGCTTAAACAACTTAGGCAAGACATTCAACTTGGCTATGCCTCTGTAGTTCTCAACAAGTTGTCTACTTTCACTTTTGTGAATAGGAATAAGGAAACCACTCTTCCAACAGAAAGGAAAACCACGTAAATTCAAGGACGGCTTAAAAATCTTAGAAATAACACCATATAACCCGACAGCGCAAGATTTAAGTACACGTAATGGAATTCCATCAGGTCCAGGCGCACAATTATATTTTAGAGAGCTCAGACCTTTGAAAACATCATCTTCAGCAATAACCAAATTAGGAATTGAAACCGAGTTAATTATAGGATATGGGTAGTTTTCGGATAAATCGGAATTAGCAGTCGGAAAGTTTCGACGGAACTACTCAGCGAACAGATTTGAGATTTCAAAATTATCCGCGGAATCAGATGCATTAAAAGAAACATGAGAGGGGTATGTGGAAATTTTTTTATTGAGTTAACAAATTTAAAAAGTATTTAGGATTAGTGAACAGAGAGGATCTAATGAACTGCAGGTATCTGCAGTAATAATGGTTAAAGGAGTTAAATCTATGCCTTGCCACCGACTAAGCGAAATAGTCAAGCGCAGAGCTACTTTTCGAATATTTTTTGAATAGCGTATTTTTTCTATTCTTGTAATATTTAGTTGTCCTATTATACCATGGGGTACACCTGCTTCGAGCTCGGCCACTGCTTAATCGGGACAGATACAGATGTAACTATCTTTAATGTATTGTAGAACAATGACATTAAGCTTTCAATACTTCCGGTTGAGCAATCAGGCTTTATATGTGAAAGATGATATTTTAGCAATACAATATTGATTTTATGAAAATCGTAATGATTATTTGAAAGGGTTGGATTTGGAACATTAAAACAGTTCAACGAACCATCATGCTTGTGATGAAAGGAAATACATATTGCTGGATGATAAGGATCCTCAGGTAAGCTAAAACATTGACAACGACTTACACTAATCTCAGGGAAATTGGCAAAGCAGAGATCAAGCAGTCTACCATTACAATTAGGGATACGGTTGTATTGAACTAAATTATGATCAAATAATTCGTTAAAGAACACAACACCTCTATCAGATGTTGAAGTAGGAATCAAACAGCCAGAATTATCACTGTTACACCAAGTGACTTCAGGCAAATTGAACTGACTGCTTGGCCATTTCACAAATAAGGGCGGCCTGTCTCTTATATATGGTGATATCAGAATTTAGGGGAATATAGGAGCAGGTTATAAATAGTTGTTTGTTAGTCATTTTCACTCGAATGGCGATAAATTGAACGTCATGAGCAGAAAATTAATTTGATTTGGACGGAAATGACGAAGATGTGGCAATTAATACACCACCTGGAAAGAATTGTGAAAAAGTTCAGACGAATGTAGATCATGTTTTAACCAAGATTCAGTGAAGGCCAAACAGGAGAACTCCGTGCCCACTGAATTTAAGAAGGTAGAACGAATTTTTGAATTTATGCCGTTAACATTTTGATAAATGAGAGATAGTGAGTCTGAAGAAACATTTAGTTTTTTGAAGCCGACAGGACTACTGGTTTAATATTGCGGGGTCGA